AAGTCATGAAACGATTGAAAGCTACAGCTACAAAAGCAGAGTACAAATGTCACAGGCTCCTACCGTATAAAAATTAAAAAAACACCTCTAAGGAAGCAATGCAATAGTACTAAAGTTCACCTAATTTCTTTGGATAACCCTTCTAACAATCATTTGTCCTAGCCAAATTTGGCATATTTCTGGTATTCCTCAGATAGTTAGTCCTCTTAACAGACAGTTCAATACTATGCATTGGGATTCCATCCTCTATTTTACAGATATCTGGCAGTAAAGGACAATGCCAGTAAGTCATTGAAACTAGAAACTCTGTTTTCTTTTCTGTATCGAGAAGAAGTGATTACACACAATCAAAGACATCTTTCATAAGGAGAATCATTTTTATGGTATCTACGGATTTTCAATACTAAGGAACAACTTTAGTTAAATACTATGTACTTAAATTCTTATTTCTATTATCAACCATCTTAATATTGACCTTCAATCTGTGGTCTCTCCTGCTGGTGAGTGGTGACAGTCACCATGTTGTGATAAAAACTAGAAAAGTCTGACACATTATGGCGATAATGAAAAAGAATGTTTGACTTTGACCAAATATGAGGTGGAGCCCATATGAGAGTTCTTTGTCGTTCTGAGAAAATAGGGAGAGAACGGAAATATAGTGGGAGAAAAGAAATATTTAGTTATCAGCACAACAATAGAAAAATCCCGATTATGAATGAAGCCTTGTAGAAAATTCAAAAACGTCTGTGCATCCTTACAGGATATATTCAGAAATGTGACAAAATTCACTAACTATCTGGTTACAATAGTGATAATTTGTAACTCGAATTCTTTCATCAAACTGACCTCCCAAGCTCAGTTTTACAAGCTCAATTTTTGAAAACCATCATAAATTGAATTAAATTCTATCCTCCAAGAAAACATTAAAAACCCAACATTAGATAATTGATATCTGGAAAAATCCCTAAACATGAAAATATCACAAAAATATGCGAAAGTCCAAAATCAGAAAACCTGAATTGGATAGAAAATGAAGCAGAAGATATATTTGAAATTGTTTCAGTTCACATAACTCACATAACTAAACTCATTCTTAACTCCATATTTTACTTCCAATGGTAACTAAGCAAAGAATGTAAAAAAAAAAGAAAATGCATATATACATCGGGCCTAACACAACTCCAAAAGCTAGCTCATGAGACGACACAGAGGCGGAGCCATGAATTGAAACTTATAGATTCGGGATTATAGTCCCTTTAAGTTATTGGGTTCTAAATTAATATTTATATATATCCAATGGATTTTTTAAAACAATTATAGAGTTTGGGACAAAGCTACTGGTTTCGGTCGAATGCGCATCCTAAGATCTAGCTCCGCCATAGGAGACGAGGATTGTCCAAGACCATATAAGGAGACATCAGTCCATTCCCTCAACCAACATGGCACACTTAACATAGAATTAATGGTCATTTCTATCAATTGACCAAGAAACAATCTAGCATCAATATCATGGCAAAGAAGTAACTAGGAAAAACATTGAATAACTAATCCAGAATTAACAAATTTAGGCTACATTTCACTAAAAGCCATTAAAAAAGAGGGCATGGTGCACTAAGCTCCCGCTATGCGCGGGGTCCAAGGAAGGTTATTTCCACGGCTTGAACCCAACCTCCTGGTCAAATGGAGGCAACTTTACCAGTTAGGCCAAGGCTCCTCTTCAACTAAAGTCATTAGCTTTCTAAAACTAAAGTTACAAACATGGCCAAATGGAACATTACAAGAACCAAGAAAGGCAAAAACAGTTGAAATTCAACAAATTTAAGAATTACCTGAAGAGGAAATGGAAGGGGAACTTCTGCTGAGTTGGGTTTTATGAGAAAAATTTGTTGGTGGTGAAGAAAGCAAGTTTCTTCCAGCTGCCTCCATTTTTGCTAATTATTTTTTTTTTTTTGGTGAATTTCTTCACTTTATATTGTACAACTATTTTCTTGGCATATGGGGTTGCAAAAAAGCAATCTTTATTCAGAATTAAGAGGGGGTTTTAGTGACTGAGTGTGTTTTCTTGGCTTTGCAAAGTTTGAAGTTTTGTATATATGAGATGGCTTTCTTCTCTTCTTTGCCTCAGAATTGATAAACCCCATCGGATGAGGTTTTTTATACTGTATTGACTATAATACCCCTGTATCTTTCATTTATTTGGACAATACCATTGGCATTTTAGAAAGGATATTTATTAAATTTTTGTAAGTCTAGCCACTTCAAAATCAACTTCATAAATATATAGAAGAATTAATTCAAATAGTCGTACACGTAATTTCTTAAACTAAAAGTAGTTAGCGAATGTATATGTATAACTGTGTATAATTGATGTATAATTTATGTATATTGCCTAAAAATAGTAAATATTGAATCGATCCGGCTATTTGTGTAATAATTCTTAATATATAAGGGAGCTAAATTTGTGTGTTTTTGCTTGAAGTTTCACCCAAATGAGTGAAATTTTTGTTTGAAGTTGGCTGCAGCTCCTTCTTTGTTCTTCAGCTTCAAGTTCGATCGAATCCTTCTCAAATTATCGAAGGGATCGTTGGTTTGATATTTTCAACATAAAATATGTATATGTATGTGAAAATAATAAATTAAAAAAATTATACTATGAACCCAAATCTAAAATTATACTAATAAATTTAAAACTTTAAAACTCAAACTCATTAAATTTAAATTCTAGATTCGTGTATAGAAAAAGGTCATGTTCTCAATAAAGTTATTTGTTGGATGAGACGCTTTTTGAAAAATTGGGCATTTGACCACCAAAGGATGTGGTGCATTAGAAGGGGCTACTACTCCCTTAACCAGAGGTCTCGAGTTTGAGCCCTGGGTATGGAAAAATCCTTGGTAGGGAGCGCTACCCCCCCCCCCCCCGAATGAGGCCCTACCCGCGCGATTCCGGATATAGTCGGGCTTCAATGTGGGTACCGAACACCGCGTGGGAAACCAAAAAAATTGGACATTTGACCAGATTGTATTAGTTGAAAGTTTTTGTGGTGAAAACAAATTTTTATTATGAAGTTGGCTGGAGAGTGAGATCTTAAACGTCCAATTTGAACAGTTGAATCAATGAGATAAAGTTAGTTATTTAGAGCAAGAAGTAATCAAATTGTTTTTGTTCGTTTCTTGCAATTGTTCATATTTTGTAATAATTTGGCCAGATTTGGAAATCTGGTGTCATATATGATACTCATGCTACTATTGTAATGACTGCTTAATTTGCTTTAATTACTATTGCCCTCCAGTTTACTGAGAAAAAGTCTGTAATTCTAAAAACTAAACGAAACAACCCCTCGATTATGAAGTTTTTTCCAACTATTTAAAAAAAAAACAATCCTCTTTCGTTTAAAAAAAAAATTGATTTCCTAAAAATCAACACAAAATAATTTAAACAAAATATAATCCCTACTAAATTTTCTCAAAAAAGAACTACATAATATTCTTAAGCTATTTTTCTTTACAAAAGAGTAATCCAAATACATAATCTCTCCTAAACTACCTTCCAAAAACTTCTTAAAACTAATTTTTCAAATTGAATCAAAATCCAAAAGCCAAATTAGTCTGCCCTCCATGGAATTACTTATTTGAAATTTTGAGAATTGTTCATTCATTTTATTCTGATATGGGGAAATAGCTTTTCTCGAGTCAAGTTCATAAAATATTAGCAAAAACTTACATTTATTACAAAAATAATTGTTCAAGTTCTCTCAATCCAACCATGGATTTAGTTAATCCACTCCCACTAAGAAAATACTGCTAATCTATTTTACCTCTGTCCGTTCTTAAAAGAGAGAACTATGCTATCAAAGAAACAACTCTTACTTTAACTATAATTTACAATTTGTAACAATACTCCCTTTATCCTATTTTATGACATATTTTTCCTTTTTGATGTGATTCAAAATGAATTACATATATTTTATATGATATTTTATGGCTTCATTTTAGACCATAAATTAAAAATAATTTACTACTCGAACCGTTTTAATTTATGTGTCTTAATTTGAATGCGACGAAGGAAAAAAGTAAAAGATATTGACTTTCTTGCTAGGACCCACAAGAGCATAACAAGACTTTAGGGCAAAATACAAAATTTGTCAATCGACTGGAACTAATTGCATTTGTTAGCTAAAAGTATATCAAAAATATAAATTATATGTATATAATTCACATATATACAAAAAAGGGGAATTTTCATAAAGTACTACAGTTTGGAGCCTAATTATCATACATAACTATAATTTGCCTAATTAACATTCGTAACTACTATTCAAAATTGTTACCAGCTTTATATCACTTGTATTCAGACGCGCAACGAATATAACTTGTGTTAACTGTATTCTTTTTCGCAAACGAATACAACAGCATCAACTGTATTCGTTATGGCGACGAATACATGCAACCAGAATAAAATACAGGGATGTATGCAAAGGATACAACCTGTATCGATTATATTTGTATCAACTATATTCGTTTGCGCAATGAATACAACCAAGGGCGAAATACAGAAATACAAAAAAAAAAAAAAAAAACTCGTGAAGAGTCAAACTCAAGACCTTTTGCTTACTAAGCGAGTGTTCTAAAGTCTAACCAACTGAGCTACGAGAGCAAGCTCTCTTATTTTAGTTTAAAACAATTGATCTCTCGTTTCAGTATTACAAGTGAATTTGCTATAAAATTCAAATATAACTACAAATGATAATTTTCTAAAAGTAAAGTTACTAATGATAAATACAATATATCCTATAGTTTTTTCTATAAAAAATATATATATTGTTGACTATTATTTTTTGAAGCCTTAAAAATATATACTCATTTCTCAAGATTATTCCCTTTTGTGGAGACAAAAATCTTCTAAAACAGGCCCAAAAAGCCCACACAGTTACCAAGAACAGATTGTCAGTAATCCACAAACCTACCCAAAACAATCTTACTTCACATTTAATGCTTTCCCCCCCTCTTTATCCCCTCACCCCACTATAAAAACTCCCCCAAACTCTTTCCCTTTTCGTTGTGGGGTCATCAAAAATCATCCGTAAAGCTCAAAGTACAACTCCCTCCCTTTTCCCCCATTCAAAAAAAAAACCCTAATAATGGGTTCAGAAATTGTGCTTCACCACAACTTCACCCCTCCTCCCACCAAATCCACCGGCGCTGTTGACGTCGCTGGAAGTGGTGGCATTAACTCAGTGTCAAATGACAATAATGCCCTTGTGGTGGGTCCCAAAAAGAAGCATTCTTTATCTACTAGGATTGCTGCTTCTTCAAACAAAGACAGGCACACGAAGGTCAATGGCAGAGGGCGGCGCGTGAGGATGCCAGCGTTATGCGCGGCGCGTGTTTTCCAGCTAACGAAGGAACTAGGTCACCGGACCGACGGCGAGACCATCGAGTGGCTGCTCCGCCACGCGGAGCCGGCAATTATCGCTGCCACCGGCACCGGCACGGTTCCGTCGGGGCATGTCATCACGACGGCGGAGAGCGTACCCTTGTCCCGGTCACCGCCGTCGATTTTGGCTCCGGTAAGCCGTGATCAGCCGGTTTCTGGTTTTCCGGTGAGCGGCGGAATCTTCTCGATGACCCCGCCGCCGAGTTGCCGGCTCGACTTGTACCAACCGGCTTTGGAATTTTCCGGCAATGAGTATCGACACATGCCGTTCACGGCATTGCTTTTGCAGCCGGTGACTGCCGATGACGGCGAGAAAAAAGTCGCCTGTGAGGATGAGAACAAGTAGATATGGAGTCATGGCAGCTTTTTTTGTGGGGAAGGGGGGTCAATGTGTTAGTTTCTAGACTTAAGGTCCTTTTTAGCTATATCCAAAAGATTGGAAAGGATCAAAGGAGGGTCAATTTTTTGGGCTTTTGGTAAAATTGATCAAAGGAGGGTCAATATTTTTGGGGATTTTGGTAAAAAAAGGTTAATTCAAGGGTAAAGGATGTTAATTTCTGATATATATTCCAATAGTAACTTTTTGATTTTTGTAAATTAGTAGTCGCTATGGCCAAGGAAGATGTTACATTATGTAGCTGGTTTTGAATACTTCCTATGTTTCACATTAGGTAAAACAGTTTCTATAATTTTTTAAATAATTAAATTTTAGTGTAATTACTATCCTAATAATTATACAACAGTAACTTGTATCCATTCTCATTTTCATCTTTGTTTGGAACTAAGGCATAGTTATTTATTGTAGTATCCATTCTCATAAGCTTGAAAAGGTTGAAACTAGCTTATATATTCATTTATCTTTGTTTTTAGACGCATGAATTGTAAGCTCTCAATATATGCAAACTGTTTTAAGTTACAAACATTACTAAATTATTTACCACTCCAGTTGGATTTTGCTGCATATCTTATTTTGGTAAGAAATCTTCACTAGTGTTCATAGCATGACAGCTGAACAAGCTATAAAAAAGAGCAGCCCTGTGTACTAAGCTCCCGTTATGCGCGGGGTCCGGGAAAAGGTCGGACCACAAGGGTCTATCGTACGCAGCCTTACCCTGCATTTTTGCAAGAGGCAATTTTCACGGCTCGAATCTGTGACCTCCTGATCACATGGCAACAACTATACCACTTATGCCAAGCTCCTTTCCAAACTCAACAAAGTATAAGACCCAGTATAACAAAGTATATGAGATTTTGTGTAGACCATTGTGCTAATTGGAGAGATGTGCATGTGGAGCACAATGTTTGAAGAAAAACAAGATGTCTATACAACAATATGATCTTATTATGCAACTGATAAAACTATTGACTATGCTATACTGTAATAATTTCTGTGAACAATTATTATAAGAATGAAAAGTAAGTATTGTTTATCAAAGAAGAAAAGAATAATATGTAAGTCTTGCATCAGAAGCTGTGTACCGACTCCTGAATGATGCCGTTGTATATAAGCGTGTGCCTTTGAATAGGTCCAGAACTGTTAATGCTTATTCCAGAAACTCCACTTCTTCTTCTTCTTCTTAAAGTCAAATGGTAGGAAGTCTAGAATGGAGCATCAAACTACAGTATTAGAATAATATGATAATATGATACAACAACAACATACCCAGTATTATCCCCCACCGTGCCCCCACCGTGGAGTCTGGGGAGGGTAGTGTGTAACAGAAACGGGAGATAAAAGTACAAGCAACTACCTCCTCGAGGATAGATTGAGTTGTAGTGCACCTCTGCCCAGAAACTCAAGTATATGACTGCAAGAAGAAAAAAACAAGAGAAACAATTAAAATGGCGTGAGCGAATGAATATCAAGACTTCAAAACACCACTCTTACAAAGTGCATATGTACAAAGAAATTGCATTCATACTTTAATTTCTCTTCCAAGCAATCTCAAGATTTGCTTGAGAAACACTTGGCTTCATAGTATAGGTATGATACAATGGCATAGAATAAATGACATGCATACATAACCAATATAAAGCTGCCCCCATTCATTAAACTTACAACCGTCTCATAATCATTCAATATGTTAAAACAGACAAATTCAGGTCTCTAAAAGGAGAATGTGAATGTCAAAGCATCCATGTTATGAGTTGGAAGTTAGATTTCAAAAGAGATAAAACGGGCGACTCTTCAAAATCTCCTTTTCATGAAACGCAAGATCGGATTTGCTTAAGATTGTCCTTGAGGGTTCATAGTCATCCATTCATCCCTCCTTCCCCTTGCGCAATTTTTTTGTCAAGGCAGGCCGAAACTTTACAGTCCAAAGATCAAAAGTACTCTTTGCATTCTTCACATGACTCATGTAATAAACTTATGTTGTCTCTTTAACTCCAGCGGTCCTACTTTATCAGAGTAGTTATCTGATTTTGGACTTCTGAAAAAGTTTGATACAAATATCGTACTAACTTTTCCATAGCTGGCACAAATTTGAAGAATCAAATTCATCCAGTAAATCAGGTTGCTCTGGTACCAGCTACTTCTATAATTTCATTCACTACTATTACTACAATATGCATAATCAAATTATCTCCTTCATCTACATGTGTAGCCTGTGTCGTCTGAAACGCCAATGGGGGAGTACTAATTTGGTGTTAAGAATTATCATACTATCTCCCCTTTTTGAATTGTTGAATTTGGTCCTGAAAATGTCGCGGTTTTGGCTAAAAGTCTAAAACTGCATTGCAGAAAGTATCAATAGAAGGATATAAGAACTCTATAATGGTTTCTCAGTTAGTGGAATTACAGCTGAGGAAAGCATCTTTAACTGCAAACTGGAAATATGTACAGCATTAGGTGACTCATGACTTTTTATTTGAGATACATGGAAATTGAGAAATAGGATCTATGTCACTCCCACTTCCAAATATTTTTGTAATCAAAACTTGTTCAATCACATTTTGTAAAGTAGAGGATATTACAGAAAGGTAAAAGCAATTCAAAGTTTGAGAACTAGCTTACCTCTGTTTGACTTCTGATTCTTCGGAAGAATCTCGATGTAACATGTATCCTTGAATGACGTTATAACAAGAATTTTCACACCATACTGCCCACAAGACAAAAAGGCAAAATCAATGTGCAACACAAGTAGGTTCATTCACAAACCAATGCATCCTAGTCTAACATCTCACAAATAAAGTCTTCATAAGAGGAGCTACGCATATACAATAAAAAAATGCATCACAACCACTCAAAATGGAGAGTGAAAGAAAGAAATAGCAAAATAGAGGCATATGAATTAACAAAAGCTAGTAAAGTACCCAATGGAGGCACTATACCAGGACATCCAAATTATGGTCTGGCCAATAATAGCTTAAGGTTCTTATATTCCGAGGTTAAAAAGTAAACCAAAGTAATCAAATGGAGAGAAAAACCAAAGGAAGCAAATAAGGGCAATAATCAATACCGAGTCAGCAGCAGCCTGCAGCGTAACATGATCACCCCATTCCCCACTCCTGGTTCAACCAATATATAAGCAGATGTAGATTTAAAGGAGAAAAGGTAATGCAGAATTTCAAAATGGAGAAACAAAGGTCTGAGAATTACTTGGACATCCTCTTCAAGTACTCTCCATATTCCATTGGGACATATCCCTCATACATCTCCGGATGATGTTTAAGCTGACAAGACAAAATGATTTTAAAAAACATACTCAGCTAAAATGTATGTGAAATAATTCAAAAATGAAATCGAAATATCATAAAGAAGATTATCTTATTCACTTAGACAAGCACCTGGCTGACTACTTGCTGTCTGACAAATTTGTGGTGCTCTGGTGTACGATAGAATTGATCTGATAAAGCACGGAACTGGAACAAAAGAGGACATGTGAAAAGATGTGCATTAGAAAGAAATAGGATGGAACCTTATCTCAACAAACTTAGAATCGGAGGCGAAGCCTAATCCACTTTAGGAAAAATGGGCTTAAGTTCCCTTACCCCATAAAACTAAAGAGTTAAGAAAAAGTTTGAATTGCCCTTTTTCAAACTACTGAAAATCCACAAATATTTTTTAATAAAGTTGTGATGGCAATCAGCCTGACACTACCTCACTTGAGTTTCATATTCCAATTTTTCTCAAAATCCTGTTATGAACCACTTCATTCACCATTTCACCGTCACAAACACCGACAACAAGTTCCTATCAGAACCAAAGAGTTAATTCCAAAAGTAAGGAATACTGATAAACCGTCATCAAACATTATGTTTGTTGTTTTTTATTCCCTTTCTTCTTTGAACCAGAGAGCAGGACCTCCGTACCACCTAGCACCTTTTTATACTGAGATTTTTCAAGAGACAAACTTAAAGAATTGTGGATCCTTCTTTTGTTTATGGTTAAAAATTATGCTAGAAGTAGTTTAAGGAAAGGGAAAACAATTTTTTTCTTCCACCAGAAATCAATTCATGAGCGTCTATAGACAGTTTGATATCATTACTGCAAGACAAATCAACCAAGTAATACAGTAACCTGACAGTTGCCATCTCCTTGCACTTTGTGCTCCACCAAGTCAAATAATTGCAATCTGAAGCAAGCAGCAATAATATTACCATTCAATTGAATTGGCAAAAATATCAACTTCATAGAAACTAAGGTGGCACAAAACCTAATGAAAAAACACAACAATATCAACTTCATAGGAAACTTAGGTGGCACAAACCTAACAAAAGAACACAACAAAACAGAACAAAATGAAAAACAGCAGGCATTGTCCTGTGACTTTAAGCAAACAAAGGGTTAACAGTATCTACTGGAATGTGCTTCTTAAGTGTTTATTTAGAAAGCACAAAATACTAGTTGACTCATTCCACAACAATTATTTTCTGTGCTTGTCCCGGGTCCCATCTCTCCCATTTGATTCTCTTTGCTCAAAATGCTGGAGGGGTTAGACGTTACGTTTCGAATAGCAGGCAGTAAGAACCACCAGTAAAAGAATGAACTAATAAAGAAAGAGAAAACCTAAAAAAAATAGAGAAATGTTTCTGGAGACACCTATCACAATAGAGGTATGCATTTCTTGCAGTGAAGCTACATTTCATTACCTTGAAAAGTGCTCAGACATTGGAGAGAATTAAGCAAAGCACTACCATAAGTTCATATGTCATTAACTCGTTCATACACAAAAAATTTGTCTACTTGAAAACTTAAGTCGGAGGGATCAGGAGATACCTATCTAGCAGCCTTTGATGATCAGAAGTTGCTACATCGACTGAAGGTATTTCTCCATTTATTCTAGGAATATGCTGCATGGTTAATAACACAAATTGTTATAAGAAACTAAATCAGTGCCAAGAAAATGGCCAAAGGTGCACAGCACCACACATGTCCTCGTACACAAAGTGAATTAGTGTTCTCGATATACTAACAGACACTACACTTACAGGAACAGCACTCAGCTGGTTTATTCTCTTCCCTACTTCTCCATCAAGCTCAAATTCATCTTGTATTTCCAATGTGTAGGTATACTCTTCTCCATCGTATGATCTATCGCCAGGACTAGAACAAGAACTTGAAGGCCCCACATCATCAGCTTCTAGGCCAGTGTCACGCCCTGTGAATCATATATAAATTAGCAAATGTTTAAACTCGAGGAAAAATCACAAAACTGAAAACAAGAAATGTACCAGCATAGTACTCCCTTGGAGGAGTATGCCAATGTTGTATACCAGTGGAGGCTTGCAAATACTGCTCATCTGCATGTGAA